TTATATTTGTCTGTGACTAGAGGACTTCAATCTACATGGCCACAGGTGGGCAAACTAAGTGTCCGGCCCATCAGACCCTTTAATCTGGCCCTCGTGCTCCCACTGGGGAGCGAGGGTTGGGGGCTTGCCCTGCTCCATGCCTGCTGTGGCTCCACACGGCTCCCAGGAGTAGCGACATGCCCCCCCTCTGGCTCCTAGGCATAGGGGCAGCCAGGGGGCTCTGCACGCTGCCCCTGCCCCAACCGGTGGCTCTGCAGCTCCCATTGGCTGGGAACCGTGACCAATGGGAGCTGCAGGGGCGGCGCCTGCGGATGGGCCAATGTGCAGAGCCACCTGGCCGCGCCTCCGCATAGGAGCCGCAGTGGGGACATGCTGCTACTTCTGGGAGCTGCTTGAGGTAGGCGCCGCCCGGAGCCTGCACCTGTGAGTCACCCCCACCCACCCCCCCGTGCCCCAACCTCTTGCCCCAGCCCCGATCCCCCTCCCACCCTATGAACATCTCGGTCGCAGCCCGGAGAACCGTCCTGCACTGCAAACTCCTCATCCCCAGCACCTGCACCCCCAGCCAGAGCCCTCACCCCCTCCTGGACCCCAATCCCCAATTTCGTGAGCCTTCATGGCCCGCCATACAATTTCCATACCCAGATGTGGCCCTCAGGCCATAGGTGCTAACAGTTTAGGAAGAAGAGAGAAAAATAAGAGGGTTAACTGTTTACTGTCATGTTTATGTCCTTTTCAATGCAGCTGTAGGTATAATACATTATCACTCCTGGTCTATTCTCTTTTAAATCACTTATAGGAGATATTAACGTTAAACAGGGATAAGCACCCTTGTTATTTGAGGAATACAAACCACATGCACATCTGGAGATTTAAACCCCCCCCTCCCCCGCTATTTTTCTTATAGACGTATTTTTTAAATTTAGTTAAAAAAACAAAAAGCTGGCAAATCAAAGTAAAACTGTAAAAATTATTTTGTATAAAACTGACTTCCTTGCAGCACCCTTTTAGACAAAAGTCCCAATTGGATTACAAGACACTTTACATTTCAGGATGGGCTGTACTCAAGTGTACACTAAATTGTTTTATTTGCTTATCAGTTCAGTTCATGGGTGAGTTATCCAATACCTAAGCCCAGCTATCATTAATAGGGGTCAGGCATTCTAATCCCCTGAACATCAATGGGAGAAAAAAATGCCCCCTAAGAATTGATACTAATAATATTTCACATATACAGAATACTTTCCATCTTCAAAGTATTTTACAAATATAAAGGAGTGAATCTTCATAGCATCCTGTGCAGCAGGTATACACAGTATTATCATCTCCATTTTACTAATGGATTATGTTTCAGAATTGTCTGATGATTTTGCTGAAGTAAAGGTTGGAGAGAAAAACGTTTTTTTGTCACAGCATGTTGGAACAAAGCTCTCATGAGGTGTTCTGAGGGAGTGGCAGGGAGGGTCTGTCAAGAGATCACTAGACTGGAAAGCTGAGTAAATAAATGAGCAAACAGTTATAAGGTTACTTCTTACATGCAATGAAAAATACCCTATCTACCACTTTATTAAATAAACTTATATACCCCTTGTGCGTATCTGTTGACTATTAGTTCCCAATGAAGCATTAGCTCATGCTCTTGAAAAAACTCCAGGGAGGAGTGCTCAATGACTATGTATTAAGCCTATCAGCTATCTCAAACACATCATTTGGTAAGTGATGACAAAGTGAAAGTGGAAAAAAAACATAATTGTAAAATAACTTTGGGGTGAAGAGGGTGTGTGCCACTGTACATTTTAAAAATATGGTAGAACTGTTTCTAAAATGAAAACTTTTGGGCTATTAAAGGTGGGAAAATTACCTGGAAAAAAGACTCATCGGAATATGACAACAAATTATAATTTCAGTCTATGCGAAGTTTTAGACTATGTTTAAAATGGTTTCACATGACATTTCCACTCCTCCAGTGCCACCAGTTTCTTTCAAATTGTGTTTTTTTTCCTTGTTAAAGGAGTTAAATATGAGCTCTCGAATTCATTTGTGGTGGTGTTGTAGCCATGTTAGTTCCAGGCTAAGAGCGAGAGGGTAGATGAGGCAATATCTTTTATTGGACCAACTGTTGGTGGAAGGCACAAGCTTTCAAACTTCACAAAGCTCTTCTTCAGGTTGGGGGAAAGGAAACCAGAGTGTCTGAGCTAAATACAAGTTGGGATATATTGTTAAGCATGAGGGGGCTGTCCCAACTTGTATGTATCTCAGACACACTGGTTTCCTTCCCCAGACTTGAAGAAAAGCTCCGTGCAGCTCAAAAGCTTGTGCCTTCCATCAACAGAGGTTGGTCCAATAAAAGATATTACTTCACCTACCTGTGGTAGTTGTAGAAGGTGGTGGAACCAACCATTCAGTCAACAGAGTGAGAAAATTTGCTAAGAAAGAGCCAGCAAGTTTTAGTTGGGGTCCCCTGCAAAGATCAAGTAAAGATTTCATGCTAGTTTCTCTTGCTTTTTCCCTTCTCCCTGACAGAGCAACATTTAAGGCTATTCAAACCCTGCTCCTGAAACCACATATTGTTAATATGAAGGTGCCAGAATTTCACTGCCGTGCTAGCACTAGCACTCATATAATGGAAGCTCTGCATAGGAGGGGGCGTGGGATATTCTACCTAACCCATGTGATATCACCACTAGTGTCATATGATTACATCTGTAGATTCACAGGCACCATAATCCCAGTACACCCTGTTGGTATCATAGTAATTGCAAACATAGTAAATTCCTCATTATTATTAAATGTATGCTAAATAACTTATGTATTGATTCTGCTAACTTTAGAGGGTTTTGCCAGGGTTTTGTAGTGGATGTGAGTCTTGCTGTTGATTTCAATGGAATCAAGATATGGTGCATGGAGCCTCTCATCCTGAAAGCTTCCAAACTCCTTCAAAATGGACCACATTCTATAGTCTTTGGGAGTTTTGCCTTAATAAAGACTGCAAGCTTTGGCCTTGGATCACTTGTGCACTCTCTGAGTGGAACCCAGTACCTTCTGCCTGCAGCAGGCAAGACTATATTCTAATTTCGCAATAATTTCTCCAATGGAAACTGCAAATAGATATGTAATGATATTATACTGGCTAGATCACCAAGTTTACTATGGAGATTGTACATTTTAGTACAGGGGTGCAGTTGTCTTTAATTTATGATAATGCATTAAGTGTTTGCTATATTTTTCCATACACACAGAGAAAATGTATTTGCTGTCAGAATGCCTTTTATTTTACATTAGGAAAAGCAAGAAAAGAAGCAGAGCTTTGAGAGAGCATGACTATGTTTATGTGTTTGTGGGTGCTGCAACAAGTCTGAGAGCAAAATGACTGTTGTCTTCACACAAGGGGAAAACAAAGCAAAGGTTCCATAGCTTTGTACAGCATGTTTGACTGGCAGGACCTTTTAATTAGCTTCTTTAAATACACGGCTTCCTTTTTCTCTGTTATGAAGTCATCTGTTATTGCAAAGTGAAAACACTTTCCATTTCAATCTCTGGGTAAGTGACGGAAAACAAATGCCTTGTCACTTTATGGAATTCAACAGGATTTCATTTGGAGGGTTTGGGTTCAAAGAGCCTCTTTGGGAGCAAGTATTGCTAATTAGGAGTTCACAGTGTAGGCTGTTAATCAGAGCAATGTGAAAAATGAAATGAGAAACGGCAGCTTCATAATGTTCCTCTCAGCTTTCAAATTCCGATTGTGTCTGAGTACATATAACATTTGAAGTGAATGGAAAGACGTTCTCCTTTTTCCTATTCCTTCCCTTTAGACCAGTGGTTCTCAAGCTTTTGTACTGGTGACCCCTTTCACATAGCAAGCCTCTGAGTGCGACCCCCCTTTATAAATAAAAACACTTTTAAATATATTTAACACTATTATAAATGCAGGAGGCAAAGCAGGGTTTGAAGTGGAGGCTGACAGCTCACGACCCCCCATGTAATAACCCCGCAAACCCCTGACTCCCCAGTTTGAGAACCCCAGCTTTAGACAACTCTAAATGTCAGCGTTTCAAGTCTGAAAATAGACGTCAATAATTATTTTTAGTAATCATTTTTTCTATTGCAATAGCACCCAATGGTCCCTGTACATATGGCCACATTGTGCTATTAAGGTACTAACCTGTACTGGAGGTGATGTGGAGCTCTACTGCCTCAAAAGAAGCTTAGCCATTGTACCACAGAAATACATGATGCATCCAGGAGCTCCTGGGAAGCACAGGTGCATAGCATATGCTCCCCTCTGCGGGCAGCTAGATCTGCTGGTCATTGCAAAGGTGTGGGGGAAAGGGACCCAGGCTTTGCCTCCTGGGTACCTAGTGTCCCAGTGGGCAGTGCAGTCCTTGCATTCACAAGAGCATGGTATGTAGTTTCAGTAAACCTTATGCTAGAGGTGCAAGAAGACGTGTGCAACTGGTTCTCTCCCCTATGTACCTGCACAGAGACCAGTCTCAATCTGGCCATGTGCTTTTTAAGAAGAAAGTCAAATGCACACAGGGGCCAATCTAAAATAGTAAAACATTACTTGGGAGCTTAAAAAAAGGAAAGGATTTAAAGTGGCCTTGAGCACACATGTAATTTGCTTATTTTTCTGTCATTTTCCCAAGTGGCATGAGTTTACGTGTATCCTGGAGCACTGGTTTTGGTGAGCAGATCGTTTAATTGCTCATTCACTCCTATTTTCTACCTTTCAGACTCTTCCCCCCACTCCAGTGCTCTTGTAATCTGAAGGCAACATCCAAAGACTGCTGCTGCCTGCTAGAGCATGTTGTCATTTATGAGAGGTGTGCAAGCAACAGCAGCACCTGTCTGAATCATTATTTTCCTACTATGTGTGAGTTGCCAAGAAGGATGATTAAGGGAAAAAGAAAAAAAAAGAGAGAGAGTCTATGCACAAATTAAGATTGGGAAAGTGGGAGTGGCATTACTTGTCAGGTGAGTTAATAGATTCTTTCTGCTCTGTGGGGTAGCACCACAAACGCTTATTTCTTTCTGCTGTGCCGATTTAATTTTGCCTCTTCATTTACCAGGATTACTGCCTAGCAAGGTAAGTGCAGATCAAAATTGTTTACTCACCTCTAACTAATATCCATTGTAAAATATTAGCAAGTGGGATAGAAAGGCTGATAAGAAAAAAATTAATATTTTAAACTGCTGCATGTATTTCTTTTGTTTCATTCAGTAGAACTTTTCAGTTCCATCCAAAGCCAATTGCTTTTCCTAAGTTACTTTCCTCTCCACGGAAACGGTGTATCGTAAATAGTGAATAAGATCAGGCAGCCGTGGTTGTAAAGAGTAGGAATGATTAAAATCTTCATACTTTCTGTTGTAGAAATTACTTTCCCTGTGTTACAACAGACTGATTGTGTCAAGGCACCTTTCATGTGTGTTTTAGGATTTAGACTATTAGATTGTTGTAAGAGCCTCTGCTGCAGAAGGAATTTTCCTGTCAGTTTCTATATGGGTGTGTACACTCTGCTCTGCTTTCTGTGTACTATGACTAATCCTGACTAGGTTGTGCTGTGGGGCTGGGATGTTAACCTAATAATCATTTTGATTTTCAACCAGGCTGTTTAGTCTCCTTGATTCACTCCTTATATACTAGGCACAGTATATTTTTTGGTTCAATTTGTCTTCTTTTCCCAAAGTTTCTTTCTCTTTCATATCCTCTGACACAGGACCTTATCCTTCTTCCAATAAAATCAATGTAAAACTCTTTGCTCACACTGAAGTCAACAGAGCAGGCCTGTACTTTGCACAATTTAAAGAAATTACAGTTCAGAGGAGATCATATCTTTCACATGTTGTCCTTTATACATCACTGGATGATCTGCCAATAGGAGAACCAGTCTTATTTTCTTCTTCTTTTGAAAAGGACACACAAAAGCCTTCTAGTTCTTTCATACCTTTCTTCCTTAATATAAACCGGTTAAGGGTTGAACTGAGCTCATTTTCGTTTTAAAGGTCAATTTCCTACATGTCAAGCATGGACAGGGAGGTTGACACTATTTACTCTGCTCAGTGAAAACTTCCATTCCGTTTCAGTCTTGAAGTGAACATATTGGTCATATTGACAGCTCCAGAAATTCAAGTCCAATCATTATTCCCAGGATTGTGTAGATAGCAGCAACACAGGGTTCCACCCACTGCCCACACAAGGGTGCCCTATGCTTCTTTTGGGGGACTGCGTCTCAGATAGATGGTCCTTCTCCATGGCTGATTTAACTGCTTCTCCTCTACTTAGACGGCCAAAAAGTATGTCTGTTTGGTAGTTCTTGTGTTGTAGTTTACTGTCTTATAGAAACTGGCCTGAGACCAAAGTCATTTCCCACAGAGCACTTTCACAACATTGCTTATTGCTGAGTCGGATTCAGCTGGATTCAAAACAGGAGATGCAGAGATTAAGAGCTTCCTACCATCCAGGTCTCAACACGAATATCAATATTCTCCTGATTATTATCTATTGTAATGGGGTATGCTACAGGTAGGTCTCTGATTAGGTTTGCTTTTCCTTTACTATCTGAAGATTTTTGTTGCATTCAGCAATGAAGTTAAAACTATGTATTGCACCGAGAAACTTCTTTCAGTCAGGAGTCCTCAAACTTGTTCTAAAACCTTCCAGCTATTTTTGGTATTTGAAGCTTTTCTATAATGTCTTGTCCTTCTATTTTTTAAAAAAAAATCAAATGCAGGGTCACAAGCTGACTGTGCTTAAAAGATGCCATTATGCCTTGGGCAGCTGTACAAGTGCTGACCTATTATTTCTGAAGGGTGTGGAAGGAAGGATGCAGCAGGAGTCTATGCTGCAGTTTTTAAAATCCCGATTCAATTTTTTCTTGACTCCTCCCTGTGATTAATGGCTCAACAGCTGGGGCTCTCTATAGTTTGCTTCTTTTAGAAATGTACCAGTGTAGTCTTTCTAGGTCTGCTAATGGGCCTAGTAGATGTCCCAAATGTCCTCTCTTTAGCTATTCCTGTTCCCAAGGCTTTAAATGGCAGGGAAATGAGGGACATGGCCCAAGGCTCTCCAACCTTTAAAGGGTCCCGATATTCCATAATATTTAATACAGTAGCTTCCTTTCAAACATTAGATATCAAGTCAAAGCCTCTAAATCTCATACATCTCTGATAGGAGAACCTCATTCACCTGTAATCTGACCATGGCTGTTCCGTGTGAAAGGATATTTAAAACCAGGGACCTGAAGATATGGGTAGAGTTTGAAGCTGGTTCTGCGTGATGCTGAAATGATTTTGTTAAGGAAGATAATGCAGACTTTGAATGATTACCTTAAGCTTTCCCTCACTTTGAGGTCTTTAGCCTTCTTGCTTCTCTGATTCACATTCTTCTGCCTTCTTTTTGACCCAGATAGATTCTTTTCTTCTGATCCCATCTTTTCCCTCCCTCACTCGTTCCTCCACCTTGATCCCTTCCCTCTGAATACAAAAGATCAGTAGATTGATCATTCCGATCTGGACACAGGGTAATTCTTCTTCCCTATTTTCTATAATCTCGGTGTGGATCCAAGGTGTGTCCTACCATCAATAGGGATCATAATCTTTGCTAACAGTCTGCCAAATCATTTGGGTGTGGGGGATGGTGAGGCCTCAGCAGATCTCCCAGTCTCTCTTGGGCCTGGACTAATTACTATCTTCAGATCTGGTGTGCTGGGATTCCATGGTTCAGAGGAAACCTACCGTGTGTGTATTTGACTCCTGTAGGACATCACAGTACTTTAAGTTTAAAGATTTGTGTTGGGTCTGCTGCTGTGATTTGATCACAGATGTTTATCCAGACTGATCCAAACCTTCCATAACATTTGAATTTTATCTGGCTCGAGGTTTAGGGTGAAGTTCAGGCTGGGTATTTTTACAAACTCATTTATCCACCCCAATTAGTGCAGACAAGAGAGTTCAATGGGCGTCATCAGAATGAAAGTGCCTTTTGCTTCCTCCCAGTGGGAATGCTCAGGAAGCAAGAACTAGCCCAACCCTAATACTGAGTAACACTTGCACGGCTCCAGCTGGAGTTGGGGAGGCCTGGGACATCAGGAATGGATTCCTGCACTTTCAGAAGGAAATAAAATTACACCCTTGTGGGGAAAGGGTATTGCTGGGGGCTCTTTCCTCTTCCCCTTCACTCCAAATGCCAGAAGGAAGGGTGGGGTTCAGCCTTTTCCTGGCTCCATTTTCAAGAGCTATCAGCCAAGGAGGTTTGTCTATAGACACACTGCCCAACTCAGCCACTCCTTGGCTAACTATCATTCATTCAGGAAAGTTCTTGCCCACCTACTGGGACAGGGGCGGGCAAACTTTTTGGCCTGAGGGCTACATGGGTTTTTGTAAATTGTCTGGAGGGCCGGTTAGGGGAGGGGGTTGTGGCCCAGCCCCCACCTCCTATCTGCCCCCCCCCCACCGGACTCCTGACCCATCCAACCCGCATTCCCTGACGGCCCCTCTGGGACCCTTGCCCCATCCACACCCCTCTGCTCCCTGTCCCCTGACTGCCCCTGGATCCCCGCCGCCCCATCCAACCCTTCCTCTCATTCCTGACACCCCCCGGGACCCATTCCCCATCCAACCACCCTTTCTCCCTGTCCCCTGATAGCCCCGCTGGAACCCTTGCCCCTGACTTCCCCCTGCTGCCCCATCCAACCCCCCTCCTTCCTGACTGCCCCCCAGGACCGCTGGCCCCATTCAACCCCATTTCCCCCCCGACCACCATCCACACCTCCACCCCCTGACCACCACCCCGAACTCCCCTGCCCTCTATCCAACCCCCCCCAGCTCCGTGCCCCCTTACCGCGCTGCCTGGAGCACTGGTGGCTGGCAGTGCTACAGCCGTGCCGCCTGGCTGGAGCTGGGCCACGCTGCCGCCACTACCACACAGCACAGAGCACCGGGTCAGGCCGGGCTCTGCAGCTGCGCTGCCCCAGGAACTCACAGCCCTGCCGCCCAGAGCATTGCGCCTGCGGTGGAGCGAGCAAGTTGAGGTTGCGGGGGAGAGGGAACAGCGGGGGAGGGGCCGGGGGTGAGCCTCCTGGGCCAGGAGCTCGGGGGCCGGGCAGGACGGTCCCGCGGGCCGGATGTGGCCCGCGGGCCGTAGTTTGCCCACCCCGTACTAGGAGCTCAAGTGAGACACTGTATGTGCTCTGTGCCTTCCCTGATGTGATTCCTTCATATTCTCCAACTTCTCCCTAGGACATCATAAACCTATCTCTAGTGGAGACTATCTGTGATTTCTGCCTGCCCTAAAAACTCCAAAGAAGAGTAATACCCTACCAGAAAGAACAGAACCAGATGAAAACCTTTTTGGTTTATAGCCCACAGCAACAATCTTTGATATATGCAGGTGGAAAAAATGATGGATTTGGCACTATTCTTCCAATCCCAATACAGTATCTTAGGGGAAATGAAGACATTAGAGCCTTTTGAAACAAACATTCTATGTTTTATTGATGGCAATCAGATCACTAGAAAAAAGAAATTATAAATGTTGAGTAGTTTATCATCCCCAAAATAGAATCTATTTGGTAAAAAGCCTCTCAAATAGGACTAATTATTGGATCAATATACAGTACAATGAAAGGTGCTTCATGCAATACTTCCAATTTTCAGTAAGGAATGCACTTGACTACAGAAGAAGCGTGAATCTTTGTGACCCTGCCAGCAGGTAGGGGATCTTGGGGGACAACTACTGCACTGGTAGGGTGCAAAATAAACTTTATTAAGAAAATGCAAAAACAGGGAAAATTCAATAGTGAGGGGTACGGGGTTTGTTAAGGTAGACAATTGGGGT